AAGCCACAGGACGCTCCTTCTCCCAGGCAGGCAGCCAGGAGCAACCACTCCATGGTTTGGTGTCCTGCCGGTGGCAAAGCCGTGGTGCGCGGAGGTGACTCCCCTATGGAGTTTGTCCACGGACTCTTCCTGTTTCAGGGTCTTTAATCCAAATCTCTGAGTTTTTTCTACTGATGAATCTGGAACAGAAATTATAACCTAGTTATAATCTACCTTTTATCCCATGTTTCTGTCTGTCTGTTGCAAACCGTGGAAGCTCCTTGAGGATGGATAAGCCCAGAGAAGGCTGCTTTCGAGCATGATTCAGCTCAGGTCAGTGTCCAACCCCTATTCAAAAGAAAAGGGCAGACCTCATCCCTCTGACTGGTCTTTGTAGCTTGTCCCTGAAACTCTGTGCTCCTGCACATTTGATGTGCTCCCAGTGACTCACCCTTAGAAATGCTTTGAGCTTGCCCCTGCTGCTGCGATTTTGTATGTGTAAAAGGAAATTTCAAAAGAAGTCGTTATCTCCTGTGCTGGCCCTTGTTTTCCTGGAGATCGGAAACTGTCTCTTAGATTGCTTTTAGAAGGTCTCCAAACAGTGACTGCATATGGCCTATCATCATGTATGAGGTACACAAAAACAAATATATATATGTTGAGGTAAAAAGTCAGTCTCAAAACTGTTTGAAAGCACTTGTCTCTGTTGTAGAGGCTCTTTCACTGCATAAATTGAGTCACGTACAAGGGTAGTTTTGGTATTTATTGTGGGATGTTTAGTGATCACAATAAAATCATGAAATGCAAGATACCGTTTGCAGTTTGCACTTGTATAGGTAGGAGGGATTAATCTTATAGCTGGCTCATCTGCTTGGTAAGTTGTTGCAAATGTAAGTGAAATTTGAGTTTCTGCAGCACGCCGGCTGTAGGTGGGAATGCCCATGCTCAGCATATGGTGCTGAGCAGTGCTCACTGCAGGGTAAATGGGCACAGACAAAAGCTGAGATGGATGGAGACCCTCCCCCCTGCCTCCCTGAGGGATGCTTGGCTGAAAGTGCAAATATTTTCAGTGAAACCAACAAGCCAAGTTAGCAGGATGGGGAGAGGGGAAGGCCACATCGTCATTTTACTCTAAATCTCACATTTGGGTGGGCAGAAATGGAGGCAGCACGTTGTATTGCTCGGGCAGCCAGGACTTCTCGCCAGAGGTGAGCAAGGCAGGGCAAGGCTGAGAGGAGACAGGCAGGTGGGTCCAGGGGTCTCCCTGCACAATGGCAGTGGCTGCTCCCCCCTTTTGCCCCGTACCCACCATCCCTGTCGTCTTCCAGTAGAGCTCTCACGCAAAGCCCTTGGGTGAGTTCCCCCAGCCTTGGGAGTGCAGGGAGCTGCTGGGGACATCGGCGTGGGGGCAGGTGTCCATCCCTGCCCAGGGGACTGGGCAAGTGTCCATCCCTGCCCACCTGCTTAAGGCAGCTGCTGGTGGAGGGGTCTGCCTTCCCTGGGCTGGGTGGCAAGGGTGGCAGGGTGTTTGCTCATCCCTGAGGACAGGTAAGAGGAGGGGTGGCAGCAGGCCAGGGCATGATTGTCCCATGGACCGGGATGTTTCACGTCACCCACCACATCCAGGTCAGGGTGCCTGGGCAAGGAGCCTGGTGCTTGCAGAGCGGGCTTTGTCTCTGCTGGGCTCGGTGGGGAGGTAAGTCACATGGGAGTTATCATCTGGCAAAAATACAGTTTTTCTCTTTGTTTTCCAGTCATGCAAGAGAGCCACAGGACAGATTTTCTGTGACTGACACGCGAGAGCTTCACAGCACTGGTACAAGATAAGAGGTTGCAGAGGGGAATTCTGCGAATGCAAAATCCAGAGATGTCATTATGGCATTGAAATCTGAACCTGGCTATCGCTCAACCTCTCCTTCCTCCTCCAAATCCCTCTCCTAAACCCACTGCTTTGCAGCCAGCCTTCCAGGCTTTCCTGGCCATCAGTCCACAGCCCGCAAGCCGTTATTCAGCTGCAAAAAAGAGGAGTTGTTAGATGCAATGTCTGTAAAAGTAAGCATATGTCTGGGAACTAGTGTTGTGGTTGTGTCAACAAGGCCAGGTAACATTCCCGGCCAAGTAATACTGCAAAGAAATATCATAAAAAATTATATTTTCTCCTTGGTGGTGGTTGGCAGACATCCAGAGTTTCTGTCCAGGAGCAGGGTTAAAGCAGGTCCTCTTGCCCTTTGTTAGTCCCTTGAGAGATGGATTGGCTTGGTGACCCTTTGGAGTGGACAGCTGTGCATGCTGGTGGTCTTCCCTTGTGGGTGTGGAAGGGGAGGAAGAAGAGAGTGACAGGGCTGCCAGGGAGAGACAGGGGGGTGCTAGGCTTCTTCTCAGTGTGAGTCCAGCCGAAGCTATCCCTCCTGAAGACCGTCTGCAGGACCCTGATGTGACTCCACAGCCTCTTGTGCTTTGCTCTTCTCTTCCTCCATGTTGCAGTGCGGTTGTACAATGCGTGGCTTCCCTGGCACTTCTCATCCAGCCTTCGCAAACACAGCTGAGCCTCTGCATTTCTTTACATAGTAATCACTGCTGTAGTTCATAATGCTTTGATGGAAAAACCTGTACTAATTTTTCACATGTCTGAGCTACTTATTCCTGCCAGAAAATTACTTCAGTTTAGGCCTGGCTGTAGAAGGTGAGTTTATCTTTGTTTTGTCAGCTCCTTATTGTGATTATGCTGTTTATTATCTGTTCTGTGTTAGCGTGCTGCAGCACACAGAAAGGGGAAAACCAGCAGCAGACTGTCTCTCACCTTGTTGCCATGGGGTGTCCTCTGCAGATGCATCAGGTGTCGCACTCAGCCTGTTAACAGAAGACTTTTGTGGGCTACCACAGGTAAGTGTAAATTCATCAGAATTACATCCCAGAAGCACATTACACCCTGAATGGTGCCTCAGTTCATTGTCCAAAGGGACAGCACAGCAGACCAATTCCCCAGCTTTTTTCCATGCCTTGAACACCCCCTTCCTTACATCACTATATGCAGGTGTTCCTGTGTGCTGACATTTCTAACCTTCAGCTTTTCTTCCCAGAATCTTTCTGGTTTTGCCTGTGCAGTGAGGTGGAAGTGCCTGTCTCGCCAGGCAAGGATGGCTTTCGTCATCTAATTCAAAGCCCCTTATTAAAGCAGGTTTTGATGCACAAGGGGCAGCTGACTCAGAGTTAGGAGTGTAGGAATGAGGCGTTCAAATTCTTCCAGATGCAAAAGTCACCTCTGACCCGGCCACAGAGAAGAGGAATATCTTCTTGCCGTTGCCAAGAAAGGATCCCTGCTGGCCCTGCCAAAGCCCCAGCTGTCAGCGGCTCAGCTGCCGGAACGGCTTCTCCCACTCGGCTCCAGGCTCTCATCTGCATCAGGCAGTCGAAGCAAAGGTGTGATTTCAAATGGGTTTAACTAAGCTATCACAAATTTCCTGTGAATGCAAGACTTCAGAAAAACCTATTTGTTTTTATTGGCTGCTGATAAATGTGTATGTTTACGTAGGGGAAATTCCAGCTTGATGGGCTCCAAATGGGTACAGGATTTCACCCAAACACTTAAAAAGTATGCGAGGCATTGAAAATAAAATAGTCAATAATTCATTTAATGTAACGTGATTCGTTGCCATTGCATGCAAAGAATAATATTAATTTCCATGCAGGAATCAATTAAAGCCTTCACTTTTATATTTCCCTGCGCAGTTTCCAGACTGGTGTTGCATGCAGATAAAGGGCCTTGCTTTGGAGTCAGGGTCTGCCCCTGGATGCATAGGGAACTCGCTTAACTGCTCTACAGCATATTTCAGATGCAAGCCCTATACAGTCAAGAGGTAGAATGAACATGAGAGCTATCTACAAGACACTTAACAGCGCAAGTATTGTAGCTATTGATTAAAAGAGAAGACAATATTCTGATTACATGTACAGTACAGTGGCAAAGTGTTTTTATACAGTACATGTAGGGCTTTGGCTTAAATCTGAGGATGAGATATTTATTGCTTGTACAGTTGTGTGATAAATTATTGGCAAGTAGAAGCACAGATGGCTTTCCCTTAAGATCAGGCATCACATGCCACAAATTATCTGGGAAATTGTCATTTTAAAAATAACTCTGGAACAAGTGCCAAGCTGAGAGGGATATCAGTGTCTAATAAACAGATATAAACACAGCAGTGCCCAAAACTAAAATATATTTGAATTAAACTATGCATTGAGAGAGCGTATAAAATTAGCACCTATTCTCTAGCAGTACAAATGAAAGCTTTTCATACTGTATTTTTTTCTGTCTCTTTCTCATCGGGAAATTCAAATTATGGTTTTGGTGCATATTTAAGCTGCTGTGGAGTTTATAGCTCAAATAGTCGTGTTAGATTCTTCTGTTACAGAATAAAAAAAAATCATACCAGAAGAAACTTAAGCACAATTATAGGCACGTAATTTTTTTTAACTGGTTTTCAAGGTGGTGACATGTTTATGCCCTGAAGTGTCTGAGCTCCGGCGCTGCCATCGCTCCTGTTGTCTTCTCCAGCAACCGCGTGCGCCTCACTCCTTGGAAAGGCGAGATCCTGGGGCCTGCCAAAACACACAGGCAAAATTACGCCCTGCACCTCACAGCCACGGCTGCTTGCTCAAAATGGAGCATTTATTAAGCTGCAGCCTGCAGCTGGGCAGATTGGGACAGCCCTGGGCCCTCCGCCGCTGTGCAGAGATAAGAGGGGGAGAGGATCGCATTTGCTTATCGCTCGCCCTTTTCCTCCTCCTCTTCCTCCTCCTCCTCCTCCCCCTCAAGGGGTGAAGGCCACCACGTGTGAGTGAGGAGAGCCAGGGCCCTGCTGGCCACCCCCTCCCCCCCGGGTCCCCCCCCCCAGCCATCACCTGTCCCAGCCTGTCCTCCTCTCACGCGCTTATATGGGCACGGCGGGGTGGCATCTGGTGACGCGGTGCTGCTAAAAACAGCCCCGGCTCCTTTCGGCCCCTCGCTTAAACAATGTCCTCCAGCCAGATCAACCCAGAGAGCCTCTGATCGCAGCACAACCTTGGACTTATTTCAAGGGAAATTAACCCGGAAGCCCCTCCGCGAGGCCGTGATCCTGAGCGTATGCCCCTGGAAAAGCTAGGGATGAGCACCTCCCTGAGCTACAAGTCCTTCTCCAAAGAGCAGCAAACCATGGACAACCTGGAGAAACAGCTGATTTGCCCCATCTGCCTGGAGATGTTCACCAAGCCCGTGGTCATCCTGCCCTGCCAGCACAACCTCTGTCGGAAATGCGCCAGCGACATTTTCCAGGTAGGTTTCTCCCCGCAGAAAGCTCTGCTTCCCAAGCGGCACCGGCTGAAATGAGCGGAAAAGCCCGATTTTTTAACATGTTTTGGTTGATTGCTTTTAACAGTCGGTAAGGTGGAGGGGAGGGGCATGATTTAAAGCAGAAGTTGAGCATCCCCGGGGGCCAGGGCTGAGCTCACAGCAGATTAAAGTGTCACCTGTTGGCTGGGGGGGACATGGCCGCCTGCGTGAGCAGAGGAACTGGCGGCAGTCGCTGGGTGCTTTACCGTGGGTGGCTTGTTGGAGATACCCCTCTCCTTGGGTATATTGACGAATGGTTTCCTACAAGTGTGTTTTTGCCCTGGGGCTTTTGAAAGAGGTTTTAATGGTTTTGCACGGCCTTTCTCCCCTCTCCTTGTGCTGCTTGGCAAGAGCAGGCCTCCAACCCCTACCTGCCGACCAGGGGAGGCACAACCGTGGCGTCGGGAGGCCGCTTTCGCTGTCCCTCCTGCAGGCACGAGGTGGTCCTCGACCGGCACGGTGTCTATGGGCTGCAGAGGAACCTGCTGGTGGAGAACATCATCGACATCTACAAGCAGGAGTCCACAAGGTAACGAGTGAATGCGTGCCCTTCAGAGCAGGTTTGCCGCACAAGCAGACGTGGCTTAGGGGACTAGTGGCCTTTGGTCTCTCCATTTGGCACATGTGAGGTTGATTTAGTTGTTTTATCTCTTGGAAATGCCAAAAGGGATAGTGCTGCCATGTATGCCTGCTCTTTGCTGTGCAATGAAGTCAGCTCTCACTGAGCACAGAAAACCGTATTCAAATAGATGCTGAATTTCCCTGCTTCCACTTGTGCCATGCTTATTCAAATGAACACTTACCCACGCAAACACAATCCTTGAGGTCAGCATGGCTATTTACATGAATAGGGAAAAGTAGCTAGATTCACATTGTTTATTTTAAAAACAGTTTAGACGACTCTTATTTGTCTTTAACCTGTGTGTTCTCATGCTAAAGAAGGGAAAAAAATTTCAAATCTTGTTAGAAAATCCTAAGGGACAGACAGCACAAACAAGAAGAAAACTGAATTTCACACAGGAGATACCCTGTATCATAATGTCAAATCAAAACTCAATAAAAAAAACCTCCATTCCTGTCAGCTTGGGATGTGAACTCATGAAATCAAGTCTTATTTAGGACTCCATAAAAGAGAAGGAGTAGCCAGAAATAACATGTATCAGCACTGTGTGGTTATGCACAAGAATCAGGACCCCAGGGCAGAGGAATGGGTTAATGCTGAAAAGTAAGACTACTCCTGAATGTTAATTGGCTGCTTTGGATGTGTAACAGATTCAGCAATAGAAAAATGTTGCTTTCTTGTGTCTTTTGCCCTGGGATGGGTCAGGCACATGGTACCACCTTGTAGAACTTAGTAGGGGACAAGCTAAGCCTGGTCCCAGGCTGCCAAGCAAGCAGCCCTCACCCAGGAAAGCCACCTGTTGTCACCAGTGTGTATCTGTAGGGCCAGTTTTGTATGACAAGGTGTTTTGTACACCTGAAGGAAGGTGTAATCCTGGCCATGTTTCCTGACAGTCTTCCCATCCCACTCCAACAAGGAGCTGGGTTTCACAGGCACAATGAAGTGATATCACTGGAGCAGGTGGAAACAAACCATTGGAGCCCAGAACCTCTGGCGGCTTAGGGCACTTCTACCCTCCTCCGGCAGAGGAGGACAGTCACCAGCAGAGAGGAGGTTTCAGAGCCTGATGGTGGCTTTGGCTGTTCTTGGATGTTTGAATCCCGTTGAGGACTGTTGTAGCTGGGCATAGGTTGGAGCTCCAAAGTGTCAGAGAGGACAAAGTTGGCTTAAAATTGTCCTTTCTGCTGCCCTTCATGCTCAGTGCCAAGGGAAGATCAGCTACCCTTGTGTGTGTCATTGATACCCAAATATTATTTTAGTCAGGAAAATCTCAGAGGAAATGAATCAGCAAAGCTGTGATAGAGGACTTTGCTTTTGACCAAATAAGCTGGACATGTGTGGCCCCATGCCTTTCTTCGTTTTGGTTTTTTTTTTTCAGCTCAAAGTTGTATTTAACTTAAAAAATAAAGAAATGCAATTCCTTTTCCCGTGTAGTTCAAGGGCAATTGGAACAAAATTCAGTTAAACAGAAATGTAAGAGATTTAGTAGATCTTTTTTTAAATTTCACAAAAGTAAAACACAACATGATGAATAAAAGGGGAGAATATAAAAAAAATATAAATATGAACATGTATTTGCTTAGATATTTGTCCAAAAGTTTTATTTATTTAGTGTGTTAAGGTGCTTGGTTAACCTTCATGTATGACCTTAGAATGAAAGTTATTATCAGGGTTACGTAGCTGCGGCAATTCATAGCAGCATTATCTAAACTATTTGGTACTTATCTCCCTCTGCCTAACATTCCTCAAAATCCCATGAGAGTGAGAGCAAGATCTGCCATTGCTTTACCCTGTGCTGTCCCATTGAACCCAAAAAGTCAAGGGAAATAAAGTCTTCTCCACTTCTCCCTTTTCTAGCAGTCTCTTCTGAACTGAGTGCTGGGGTCTGGCAGAGGTACATAAGAGATGAGACTTTTGCCTCCTTGTTTCTTCGCAAGACATCCCTTCAAACTGGCAACACCTGTGATTTACAGACAGGACCCTTGTCCCCCCGAGTCCTTCTGTGGGTATAATTGACTATAACTGCGTGTGCCAGAATGATGCCAGCTCCCAGCTGCATTTCACATTAACTTAGGAAAGTGAGGAGAATTAAGCTAGGGAACAAGCTTTGTCTCCTGCTTAAGTAAAAATAATTTATTTCAAAATTATTTTTTTAAATTTGAGTTTCTATTTGAACTAAGGAATTGGATATTTTTTTTTTTAAATAAAAGATGGGGCAGAAGCTGGGCTATGGGGTTGAGAGGGTCTGCCCAAGCCCTCACACACAGCCCCTCCTATTACTAAAAATCACATCATGTAGTCTTTTATCCCATAAAAGATGGGGCAGAAGCTGGGCTATGGGGTTGAGAGGGTCTGCCCAAGCCCTCACACACAGCCCCTCCTATTACTAAAAATCACATCATGTAGTCTTTTGCTCATCAAATTCCAGCTGATGGCAGCGTAGCCTATTGCCCAGTTTAGAATCTATTAGCAATGCAAGGAAAGAAACCTTCAACCAGGGTGTGGCTCCTACAAAGCTTTAAAGGAGGGCAAAGGACTGAACCCAGTAGAAACAGAGTTGGCTAAAATATTAAACCAATGTTTGAAAGTCTGTAGGCCACTGATTCCCTGAACTATCTGAGGAACATCAGGGTGTCTGCTGCCACCAGGAAAGGGTAGCAACAGGAGGCTGTGACTTCTCACAAGCTCTGCCAGCCTCTAACAATCTCAGCCAGCTATGCCTGATCAAAAGGTGCTTTGGGCTTTGTTTCCAGCTGAATTCTGACCAGAGAGGGTGGAGTGCTTTTTCTGCTGTGCACCTACCCGGGAGAGCCCTAGGTACAGGCTGTCTCTGCATCCCCAAGCACATATGGAGCAGTGCATGCAGCAGTGTGCTCAGCAGGGACCGGACACTGGGCTGAAAGCAGCATGCACCAGCTCTGCAATGGTGGTGATGTGCTGCAGGACAGGGTAGCCAGCACCACCAGGAGCAGCTATTGCTGACACTTCAGAGGCCTCAGGCAGAGGTCCAAGAGGAGGACATGGCTCTCCAGGATAGGTTGCAGGGATGCCTGGGGATCTCAGATAGGCTGGGCCAAGGAGATGGACTCCCTGCCCACAGGAGCTGCAGGAGAAGACCTGCAGACTGTGCAGCGAAACAGATGAGGATAGAGATCACCTGGATCATCTCCAACTCCTCACAGAGACAAAGCCCCAACAAGCTCACCTGTGCCAATGGTTTTCTTGGGCCAGGCATTCACAATAGCACTAGTGTAATGGAGCTGCAGGAATCCCTTTGTCCATATGAACTTTTTTGGTGTTCTCATTTTTCAAACCCCATTTCTATCCTGGGTATTGATGATCTTTTCACTGCTTTTGGGACAGTTCATCATTGTGATTGTTTTTCAAGGACCACCTCCTCCAAGCTTAAGAATGGTCCATCCCCATATACAGGAACTCAAGCAATGGTGGCAGGATACCTACATTTTTTAACAAGGAGCCCCTGATAAAAATAAAACATTTAAAAGGAAACAAAAAAGAAGGTGGACAGGTGACTCAGGAATATTTTGAGACACTGTACAAGCATGTACAGATGGAGTTAGGAAAGCCAAAGCCCATCTGGAACTGAATCTGGTGAGGGACGTAAAGGCTAACAAGAAAAGCTTCTACAGGTACATCAGCAGCCAAAGGATTATTAGGGTGAGTGTGGGCCCACTGGTAAATGGGGCAGGGGCTCCTGTGACAAAGGCCATGGAAAAGGCCAAGGTACTCAATGCCTTCTTGACCTCAGTCTTTACTGGTCAGTAAGATTGGCATTCAGGAACCCCAGGTCCCTGAGATAATCAGGACAGTCTAGAACAAGGAAGACTTACCCTCAGTGGAGGGGGATTAGGTTAGGGAACATTAAAAAAAAAAGGACGTCCTGGTGGGAGGTACCCACGAGTGATGAGGAAGCTGGCTGATGTCATTGCAAGGCCACTTTCAATAGTCTTTGAAATGTCATGGTCATCGGGACAAGTTCCTGAGAGCTGGACTGGAAGAAAGCAAATGTTACTCCAATCTTCAAGAAGTGCAAGAAGGGGAATCCAGGGAACTACAGGCTGGTCATGAATGAGAGTAGAGCAGTGAATGTTGCTTACCTAGACTCAACACTGTCCTCTGTAACAACTTTATTGACAAACTGATGAAATAAGGTCTAGAGTGGACAATGAGGTGGACTGAAAACTAGACGGACTGCCAGACTCAAAGGGTTATGGTGAGCAGAATCAAGTCAGGTGGAGGACAGTCATTAGTGGTGTATGCCCGAGATTGATACCAGGGTCAATACAATTTCACATCTTCACTAATGACCTGACTGTGCCTCGTACAGTCATGCAAATTCTCTCCATCCGGGTTGGAACCAGGAGCACAAACTAGGTGATGTGATGATGTAGGAAGGGCTACAGCTGTCTCAGGGTCCTCAGTAAAAACAATATCAAAGTTGGATTCAGGATTTCAGTAGAGATCTTTCTGGATTTGTAGAAATCCAAAGGAATATGTCTTCTAATTAAACAGTGGTTTTGCTAAGGTCTCGCTATGTCCTTAATTAAGGTGTGTTCCTTTATTTGCCCAGCAACTTTGCATTTCCTTACCAAATCACAGAATCACAAAATGGCTGAGGTTGGACAGGACATCTGGAGGGCACCTGGTCCAATACTGCTGCTCGAGCAGGGCCACCCAGAGCCAGTTGCCCAGGACCATGTTTTTGAGTACCTCCAAGGCCCAGGACCATGTCCAGATAGTTTTTGAGTACCTCCAAGGCAGGAGACTCTACAACCTCTCTGGGCAACCTTTGCCAGTGCTCAGTCACCCTCATAGTGGAAAAGTGTTTCCTGATGTTCAGAGACAACCTCCTGTGTTGCAGTTTTTGCCTATTGCCTCTTGGTCCTGTCACTGGGTGCCACTGCAAAGATCCTGGATCTATCGTCATTACACCCTCCTTTCAGGTACTTAGATATCTGAAGGTATTGATAAGATCAAGGTCATTGTTAAGATCTCCCTGAACCTTCTCTTATCCAGGCTGAAAGTCCCAACTATCTCAGCTTTTCCTCACAGGAGACATGCTCCAGTCCCTTAATCGTCTTCAGGGCCATTTGCTGGACTCTGTCTGGTATGTCCATATCTCTTGTATACTGGACACAGTACTCCAGGTATGGCCTCACCAGTGCTGAGAATCTTCCTCTCTATAAAACATGCACAACACTCCACACGTTAAGGTCCAAACCCAATTTTAATGGAAAAGAATAAACCTGTAGCAGTCAAACACAGGCTTAGCATCTCAAAGAGCAGAGTCAGAGAATAAGAGCACAAAGCAATTAGGCCATTTAAGCTGCCTGCCACTTGTTTGGTCACAAGCACATTTATGATGAATCTTTTCTTCTACATAAGCCATGCTGTCATCTTCCTACTGATTACTCTTTAATCATCCATTTCAGGAGCAGCCACTATTTTAAACTTAGGGGCTGTGTTTTGGTCTTGGCTACACCTACATAGACCTAGAGGATCTCCTCTGAAGTCAGGGAATGTTCTGCTAAAACTCTTTCCTTTAGCAAAGCCTAGGGAGTAAAGCTGTTTATTTCTAGTCTTCTGTCACTGTCTTAAGGGCCTCACTAGTTCAGGGAGTTCTGCCAGGTTTCTTTCAGCTCTTCGCGGCACCTTTGAAGGTTGGCTACTTCTGGCTGAACTTGCTTGACACCTTCACCTTTTTGCCCTGTGCGATGTGTCTTTCACGCTAGTGGCACCACTCCAGTGTCAGATAACATTCTAGTAGTTTCTGGTTCTGGTCTTGTAAATATTTGCAGGAAGAGCAGCTATTTTAGGCTTAATTAATCACTTCGAAATTCATTGTCTGTTATTACCCTCGCATACAAGCCCTCCCACTGGTGCACTATAACATGAATATATTAGGGGCTGTTTGCAGTCATCTGCAAACAATGTAAAGCATTCCTTATAGTGGAGACACACCTTTTTTGACTAGCATTGAAATGATTCTGGATTTGACACTTTGAGTGCCTTATGTAAAGGTATGCTGGAAATTTGACCCAAATAATATAGGCTTCTTTCAGAAATGTCTGTCTTGTTTTATTCTGGTATATCATGTTATATTGCAGATTACAGATTTTTCCTTATGAACCCTTTAAGTTCCAGTGCCCTCCTGAAATTAAAAAATACGAATGCATGAGACATTTTCTGTGGTACTTGATCTTTTTTTAAACACATCTAATTGATCACATTCCATTCCCTTCGGAAGAGAAAACCTGTACCTTTTCATTAAAAAATAAATGCTATGTCCACTCTACCAAACTGTATGGAAAAACTTTATTGTAATATAATCTAAAATAATGATCTTTCCATAAATTTTTAAACTTGTAGGGGAATGACTGGCTGCCTCCTTGCTACTGAGCACTCTAGAATGGCTTGTAAAAGTTGTTGGTACTTAATTCCATTAAATTTTATAGTTTTGGAAAAGATTTTCTATCTAATGATGAAAAGATATATTTCTATGGTGTCATTGCTCCACTTGCTACTGTTCATAGTCATAGTTCTCCTTCCAAATGGCAGCAGAAATGGGTAATGGCTTATATTGGAAAGATTTAATGTTGCCACAGCAGGAGTGGCAACCTTTGGAGGCTTGAACCTCCAGGTACACTCCCTCCTTCCATCTACTAACTCTGTGCTCTGGTACCACATCTCACACACTCACGTGCTTGCCGCAGACATGCTCAGGGTACTAAGCCTGAAGCGTGGGCTCAGAAAAGCATCAGCTTGCCCACGTGGACTGGACCAGAGCTTTCACTTACACTGGGAATGTCTGTTAAGTGGCTTATTTAAAGGAAGCTACAACTAAATTAGTTCCTAAAATAGCAGGGATTGACTTTTGTGTATATGGCTAAATCATTTTGGGGAAGAGAAGATCAGGACTGAGCTATAGCGTGGTGACAGCTCCTGGCTTAGCACGGGAGAGGAGCAATTCATGTGTGACCCATGCCCTTGGTGACTGGTACAATTGAGTAGCTACTGTTAAAAACTTCAACACTGTACAAGCTAGACACGTGCCACCCAGATAATAATAATTTGTGTGAGACCTTATTTTGCTCACTGCCCTAGTGTAAAGGCCATAAGGACCCAGTTCTGTTTGATATTGACAGTCCTGACCTGGGTCTCACAAAGCTCATCAGCAGAGGTATAAAGTTAAGGGCATGAAGATCCATCAATACCTACAACTCTCACTTCAAATTAGCCCCCTGAATAAGAGCTTTGCTGCATTAAGGCCAAGTGCCCAACATTTTGCATGATGAACTCAAAAGGAATTACATATGTTTCATATTTCAGACAGATGTTGGATAACTTGCTGATTAAAGTACATGAGTAGTCTGAGATCAGTCTCAATGAGGTTATTTACATTTTTAAATATGAGCGAGGGTTCAGTCACACTCCCAGCTGGAATCCCCATATGAAGTCATGTTGCTATATTGTCATCACATCCTGTTGTGTCAAGACATTAAGCTGTACCACTGTCTATTTAGTCATCCTGTGTGGCAGGTTTAAGTCTACCCTATTTCATGCTGATACCCGTAGTGTTGTCATCAGAAACTCATGAGCACCCAGTTTGCTTTAAACTTGTTTTCTTTTCCAGACCCGAAAGGAAGTGTGACCAGCCAATGTGCGAAGAACATGAAGATGAGAGAATTAATATCTACTGTTTGAACTGTGAAATGCCCACCTGCTCCTTGTGCAAAGTCTTTGGTGCCCACAAAGACTGTCAAGTTGCTCCTCTCACAAACGTTTACCAGCGACAGAAGGTAAATATCTTTTTGTATCTCACAGTCCTCCCAGCAACTGACAGGACCATCAAGAGGGAATTATTCCCATCGGCTTCCTTCCAGTTTCCAAAGGGGCGTAGAGGTGCTTTTGCCATTCTTGTGTGTGAGTGAAAGGCTCACACAAATCTATAGGAACCATTTAGGAACACAGGAAAACAAATTTATGAGAAATCACACAGAAAGATATTACGGTGTCCCAATTTTTGTTAGTATAGCGAGCAAACATTTTAGACAGCAATTTAATGTGAAGCTGAGGATCCCTCTTTTGAGGTTCCTAATCTCTTTTTTTCAGTGCTTTTAGATCAGAAAAACAGGTGGGATTTCCAACACATGAACTGGAAAGAGAACAGACCATTACAAATCAAATAGTTTTCTATCAGGCACTTTTGCCTTTAAGCATCCCATTTTTAAGAAAAGTTGAGTGAAAAACCTCTTCCTGCAAGTGAATGCAGGAATATTCAATAGTTGGCAGCACAGGATGTACCTAACATCCTCTGCCCTTGCTGTCACCAGTAAAAGACTTGTTTATTTTTAATACAGTATTAATTTAAAACCTGACTCACTGGGTTATCCTCCTGAGATAAACAGCTCATTTTTCTGGGGGGCCCCAGTGGGGCAAGCAATCAGACAGGCCAAGTTTGCAATCCCAGCCTCCAACTTTGTCACACAGATGCTTGTGTGTGGAAACTACAAATGAGAAGTCACTTTAGGAAAGTAGTAACAAACATCCTTTTCAATCAAAAAAGGGAGGGAAAGGGGGAGACATTTCTTGGACCGAATCCATGTCCCTGATCACTCCCTTTGCATGGAGATTTGCAAGGAGTGGTTTCCCTCCCAGCGTGCCTGTAGAAAGGGGCTGTCATGCCCAAGACTGCAGGCATAACCTGGAGGCTGCAGGATGTGTGCTTCAAAGGGTCCTTTACAAAGCAGTGGACGCCACAGACACGGTTGCCTCTGTCACTACAGCCATGTGCCAAGGGTACCTCTCCCTCCCCAGAACCCTCAACAAGTTCACTAGGGACTAGCTTCTCCATCTCTCCTCTTCTAAGGACACCCCACAGTCATCCCGCTCCCAACACTCAGACCGTTCCCTTCTTCCGCTCATTTCCCTTGTGCCAGTGGCTCAGCCTTTGCCTTCACCTTCTCCTCCTCCTTTTCTTCCCTCCTTTCCCTCTCACCACAGCCCCAGCCCCACTGCCCTTATGCCAGGGGCTCTGTAGCACCCGATCCCTCCAGGTCCATGGGCCACCTCTTCTCTCCAGAGCTGAGAGCTACAATCATCAGCAAAATACTACAGTGGTACTGGTAGACCCAGACACTAAAAAAAAATCCTTCAAGAGACAAAGACTTTTCTCTCAACAAACCCAAAGGGAATATTTTGGGGCTGTTGAAACATAGTGCTTCAGCCAAAAGCGTCTAGAAGGGCCTCCTAGGGCAAAGTGCTTCCTCCTTTCTAAATCACAGCTTCTCCTCCATGAAAAGTTTCAAAATGTCAATGTTTTCACAGTGTTTTGGGAGATGTAACAAATGTCAAAGTACTAGTGGGTAATTTGTGGGCAGGCAAAGCTCCAATTTTCCTCGGTTCTGGTGGAAAGAAGAGCTAATACCATGGTAAGGCTCATTCGTTCCCGGCTCCCCGCAGTTAGATGTACCACCCTGAAGTGGGACAGTGTCTAACCACCTATCGCTTGCTCTTCTTTTACTGCCTAGTCCGAGCTGAGTGATGGCATTGCAGTCCTGGTGGGGACCAATGACAGAGTGCAAGGGATAGTCACGCAGCTGGAGGAGACCTGCAAGACAGTTGAGGTAGGTACCAACCCTTCAAATGCAGGTATTTCAGTGTGAAGTCACATCTTTTAAACTGATGGTAACGATCACTCTTTAACAGACCTCACTTTACCCACATGCATTCCCACATCATTTCTCTAAACCATAACCGGTGGCTTCATGCAGTATCAGCTGTACTGCCTCAACCAAAGGATACATTCTGCTTGGCACCCTGCCTCTGACATTGGCCACGTGGCTGAGGACAAAGACTGAGGATAATCCACATCAGCATGTCTTTCTCAGCATTCTTAGTGGCATAGGATATCACTGAAGTTAAAAGCAGATCCAACAAAATGCCATCAACTCCCAGTTGATTTAACATCTAAGCTCAGGTGCTAAAGCTGTAAAAGACCAGTATTAGTCTAAAGCCTGATGGGTCCTGTGAACAGAACCTTAGTCTCAGCCACAAGGTAGCCACAGTGCAGTTCCCAAGTATGTCAGTGAGCTCTGTCTTTGGTTACTTTGCCTCCTGTGCAGAAGTAGTTACTTAATATGCTTATGTTGTCCTTTAAGGAGTCTTGTTTTGTTGCTCATAGGAGGGAAGAGTTTGGGTTCTTACTGTAAGTCTGGATTTTCTGGTAAATGTCTTGTTCCAGTACCTAAAGGGGGCCTACAGGAGAGCTGGGGAAGGACTTTTTACTAGGGCTTGTAGTGAGAGGACGAGGGGGAATGGCTATAAACTGGAAGTGGGCAGGTTTAGATTAAACATTAGGAAGAAGTTTTTCACTTTAAGGGTGGTAAGGCACTGGAACAGGTTGCCCAGAGAGGTTGTTGAGGCCCCATCCCTGGAGGTGTTCAAGGCTCAGCTGGACATGGCCTTGGGCAACCTGGTCTAGTGGGAGGTGTCCCTGCCCATAGCAGGGGGGTTGGAATTCGATGATCTTCGAGGTCCTTTCCAACCTAAACCATTCTATGATTCTATGATTCTGGCAGAGCTGGAATTAGTTTTGTGTCATTCAATAGCAGAAGTGGTTTCCATTTCCTCTAAGAGGTTTGCACCAGCAAAGCAAAAATAAATATCAGCTCTGACCAATTTGAGCTTCACAGAGCAATAGGCTGAAAGGAGCTCATATGAATTGATTTTATGATCAGAGTTTGATGAAGCATCTAGTGAAGGAGTTGCCTCCCTCTCAGCCCAATTAGAATTATATTGACCCTTCAGAGCTAGAGTAGAAAAGAGAAACTGCAGACAAAAAGAAGTTAATCCAAGATATAGAGATTCTAATTGGTAAGAAAAATTGATTCCACAATCTATGTACACAATTGCCCAAGGCTTCTATTTCTTCAGAGCAAGGAAGAACAGAAAATGTCCCAAGTTTGGTTCAAAGAACATAAAACTATTAGCTCAAGTAAATGATAGCGCTGTGTTAGCAACAGTCAGAACTTTGTAGTCAGGAAGCCTTCACGTCGCAAGGATGAAATTGGCTGCTATCAGGATTTTGCAGACAGAAATGAGCTTTTCAAGTAGGTTAACTGCAGAAATTTGAATGATACAAAAGCAAAAGATTATATTCATTTAAGTTGAACCAGCTGAACCAGAAACAAAACTTCAAACATCTAGTCTGAAGTATGGAGAAAACACAGTGCTAAAAATACCTTAATAAATACAACCATTTTTGAAACTAGCTTCCTCAGAGTCATCCACTCAGTTTAAAGTCTAACCTTTAAACTCAAAGCCCAAAGAAAGTGCAGCCATTTTGCCTTCAGATGTTTTAACAGGCTTTTCACCTTTAAAGACAAAGATTGCAGAAAATAGATCTTAGAGCTTACCTTGGCACTTCCATGTTACATTTCAAGCAAATCACATTTCCTGCCGTACAAGAGCTTTGTCTGAATCAACATCAGTTTGTCCTTGAAGATGAAAAGCTACATCTGGAGCTGAGAAATGTGGACACATGGAAATAATGCTTATAATCCAGGATTGTCTCTTCTCTCTACTTAACACTTTGCAGAGAGCAATGAGTATGTGCTCTAGCAGAAAATACATTATCATTTTTCTTTTAGCTAGAGCAAGAAATAGCCTACAGCTCTATATTTAGCTATTGCTCCTATCCAAGGCTAAAAAGAAAAACAAAGAGAAAAACCTGATTAATACTTGTACAGCCTTTAACTGATTGAAAGGTAGAACAAACTCACATATTATACTGAAAATAAAAAAGAGAATATAAAATACTAAATACTGGAAAACAATAACAAATTATTAAGCACTGTGTAGCCCTGTAAACAATATGAGTCAAATAATGACAGTCAAATTACAGTGTTTCTTTCAAATGCTAATAGCATAGGCCAGTCAATACAGATACTTCAGAACAAGCAGTGTAACTCATGCTTAGTGGCAAGGACTCCTTTTTATTTTTTTTCCTGTAGCTGTGCTTTAAAAAACAAAAAGCCTGAGAACTTTTTAGAATGGAAAGTCATGTATTTGTTAACCTTTTTCATTACTCAGAATCTGATTAGGGTAATTCCATCAGGCAGACATTTTGTATGGGAACATTTTATACAGAAAGAGAATATTTCAGAAATATTTCAGCAGTTGCAGTTAGAAACCTGTTTTGCACTCTCACTCTTGAGGTTCACAAGTCTGTAATGTCTGCTGGCAAGAAATATTATATGTTAGAGCTTAGAGATAGGGAAGGACCTCTCAGGGCACCCTGCTATCACTCTCCTGCTCTTCTTCCCCTAAAGCTGTCCTGTGTCAAATAGCAAAGATAGCACACACCTGTCTTGAAATTAAGGTTGTTTAACAAGTGATCTGGGTGACATTTCAGAGGCGGTCATTGTAGACTGAACCAAAGAGGAATCTGGAGCAAGTGGAATGGCAGGAAACACTGGGAGAAAGCTAGGAGAGGAGTGAAAGAGGAGAGGAAGGTTGTATGAGGTTTGAACAATAGAATGACACCCAGGAGCCATTACGCACTTCATTCAAAAGCTTCCTTATCCCCACCCTATAATTCACTAATTAGGAATTTCTGGGAAGTGGCAAGGACCTCCAGAAGGACAGAACAAGCCTGCTCCTCCCCTGCCCCCACTAAGGAGTTTTAAATTAGGAGTGCCTGTTTAGCCTAGTCTTCCTCAGGGGGAAGTGGAGGTAGATGCTTGGGTTGATGCAACAAGATCTGTATTCGCTCCCCACCCCTCAACGTAGACAGTGATTTTTGGCCACACATCCATCTTCAAAAGGCTTTCTCCTTTGAACAATACAGAGCAGACTGTGACCACTCGTAGGAAAGAGCTCTGGCTGATAGTCAAGTAAAAAGTGGGATTCTCTCTGGTCAAGTGCTATGAATAATCAGTCTTATCACTTCCGAAAGTACTGTGTGACTGTTAAAAATCCTGTGCTGCCAGGATCTCTGCTTTATGCTTCAAGGGACAAAGATGAGGAATTGATTCAGCCTCAGTTCCTAGGAAAGAGATTTAAATAATCACCACCATCCGCAACCAGATACAATCACAATAAGGTTATGCCCATCTGTGTGCCCTGGGGCACACAGATGACTCAAGTACTTCTATTTGGTAGACCTCAGACATTATAGATAACCTGTCTCTAATTTCCTCTCCATAAATCCTCCCTTGCAAGTGCAGTGTGTTCTTGTTAGAGAGTGCTCGATGAAGGAGCCATCAAACCCAGCCTCCTTACTCAGTGAAATACGTTATGTTGTCTGGTTGGAAGGACAATATAGGTGTCACAAAAAATGATGTGAAAATCAGTGCCTGAAGGTAGGATTGGGACCTGATTCCTCCTTCTTGTCTTTGTGCATTTGCCACACACCATTTTCTTTGTGGTACCTCTACCTCATTCAGTGCACCGTAAATGGAATATGATGGACACCTATTGTCTAAATAGAGTCTAAGAGGGCGTACGTGAAAATCAAGCCCAGCCAGGACAGTTCCAAGTTCTCTGGTAGAAGAAGAAAATTCTCCAGAGCAGATCTGAGATGACAGTTCCTTTAAAAACCGTTCTGTTCATGCAACTGAACACAGCTGCTAATATGGTGGGGGGGGTTACTTTTTCTGCAGACTTTGATGTATTACTACAGACATCATAAATACCTTTCACAATTTTTTAGCAGACTGACAAGTTATACAATAACCTGTTTGGGGGCTTTCAGTGGCTTGAAACTCCGAGTTTGAGAGCAGTTTAGAAACTTTTGTTCTAAAAGCTTGGACTTTGAAAATTATAAAAGTCTCTGGGGTCATTCAGAATCCTTTGCACTGTTCAGAAAGAGGAATTTCTTTGATGAAATTGCTTCCAAGTAACTATAAAAATAGAAACTCTTTTAAGAACATAACATGTTTAACATAAACCAAATGATTCACAGGAATGCTGCAGACGACAGAAAGAGCAGCTGTGTGAAAAATTTGATTATCTCTATTCTGTACTGGAAGAAAGAAAGAATGAGATGACACAAATAATCACTAGAACCCAAGAGGAGAAACTGGAACACGTCCGCTCCCTGATGAAGAAGTACGCAGATCATTTGGAAGCGGTGTCAAAGCTGGTTGAATCAGGAATCCAGTTCATGGAAGAACCAGAAATGGCTGTGTTTTTGCAGGTATAAAGTCTAGAAAAGATAGAAAAAGAATGTGGGTTTATTGAAATACTATTTAAGCATTCTCAATTTTAGGCACATTCAGAGTTTGGTCGTCTTTGAGTGAACATTTATGCAAACTCATTTTTTAAACTCTTGTATCAGCACAGACAAATTACTAGTCGTCTTGTGAATACTATCCAAACCAAGAACGTGAGTATTTGCTATTTGCACCAATATATTCTATGTTGTACATGAACGTCTGGTCCCCAAAGAAGAACTAGAAATTTTAACTTTTTCCAACATATCTTTATTGTCCCACCACTATAATATATGTGTATATGAACTTCTGTGAGTTATAGGTTTCATTTGCATACTGACAGAGTGACTAACTTTCCAATAATTAAATATTTATGTTCTAAGTCACATTTTTATGCCTTTACTTCATTTTTTTTTCCTTCTCTTTTCTTTCTATAAACTTAGGAGAGCTGATTAGGAAATGATTAGCAGCCTGTCCACTAACTTAATTTGTGCAGAATTTCTGTCCTGCAAGTTTACAATTCCTCTATATTAAAGGCTGACTTCATTTTTTCTACAGAAAAAAAAACAAAAACAAAACAAAACAAAAAAAACCCCAAAACAACCCAACACACCCTTATTTCCACCAAAGAATTGCCTTTGAAGGGTACAATATTCTTTCCAGACAAATAAAATTTTGTGTCTCCAGAAGTATGCCCTAATGGATAATCAAAGATACAGTTACTATGCCTAAAGATGGTACAGGAACAATTGCTTGTCACCACACACACAAAAGAAGAGCAAAAATATTTCCACTTCATTGTTGTAGAAATTGCACTTATTTCCCATCATATTCATATTTTAATTAAAAAGTCTTCAATGAACTAAAAGGTTTACTCAGCTGTATACTAATTACTATCCAAATTTTATCTCATTTATAGATCTCATGTTTGTCATTTATGAGATCCATATTAGTGCGTTTAGAAGCAGCCAATGTAAGAATTAGATCTCAATGCATAAAATCTCTGAAAAAGTGGAACCATTTAAGAAGACAGTTATTTCCTTTTTTTTTTTTCACAGAATGCCAAAACATTGCTACAAAAGTAAGTATTTAAACTTGAGACTCTTGATCTTTATAATGAATTACAAATTTATCTGCAAATCCAAATGCCAATAACCAATCTCTCTGTTTTAGGATTACCGAAGCATCTAAGGGATTTCAAATGGAAAAAATAGAGGACGGGTATGAAAATATGAACCAATTCACAGTGAACCTCAGTAGAGAAGAAAAGATAATACGAGAAATTGATTTTGACAGAGGTATGTCATTTATTTCACCTAAATTATTTTCTTAAATTGCAGCTGTGTGTAATTTACATGACGATGCTGGGTAGGAAAACTTGAATCAGATATTTCTCTCCATCCCAAAGTGTATCTGGACCATTTTGTATCAATTATAATAAAAAATAAAAATCTATCACAGAGAAAAAATCACATAACCTGTTGACACCATTCATCTTACATTTTATGTGGCCTCAACACTTTCCTAAGCCTGTGATCTTTACTGATTCCTCAAATGAAGCGACCACAAAATTAAGTTTTTATCTTGGTCTATAAAGTCCTTTTTTCCCTAAAAGATGACATATTTCTATGGCCTGTCTGCTCTAGAAAATCATTAAAGAAACAGAATGTTTACTACTAGAAGTACTTATGAAAGAGACTTTATTTAAACTCTTTTTTATAATAATTGAAATGTAGCAGAAATGTAATCAAAATTCAAGATCAAAGAGTTATAGAGTGAAGCAAAAATTGTCATCACCTTTCATGCATTTAACATCTTGTGCCATGTGATTTGTCATGACATCATGACTAAACATGTTTAGTATGTCTATATAATAATGCAAAGTTGTAATTCTACATTTACCAAAGTAGGCTTATCTATGCTTTACCTAGAGGGTAAGCCACAAAAAGTTAATGGAGATAAGCAGAGATAAATAAGCAGATCTCTCATATTAAAAGGCAGCAGTAAGACTCACCTGGATATCTCTAATTTTCTTGCTAGCACTGGGTTCTGCTAGTATATTTACATTCACCTTTATCAGCCCAGCTATGTCTTATGTAGATGCTACCCATTGCTTACCCCCCTGCCACAACTTATACTAGCTTCAGAGTGTGTGGCTGCTCCCCCTGTGAGGGACTTTGGGAGCCTGTTGTGCAGTCTGTAGGTTGGGAACTGCAGTACTTGGCACAGGGATCCATGTAGTGGGACAGCAGCTGTGGCACCAGTCAGCAACAGAGCACCAGGTGCCATCTCGCAGGGTCATGAACCTCCAGGGATTTCTCCTGGCAGAGACGATCCCTAGTCACAGCCTCATGCCCGTTTCATCCCTGTGATCTGCCACAGCTGCTACATCCCTGCCACACACCTACATCTGCCAAGATCGTGACCTCATGCTCCAGGCGCACACCCCCACCACGTGATGGGGAATGTGACACCTACCTCCTTGGGGACAAGGCATTAGCAAGGGCTTTGGCAATCCGGAGTTCAGTCCTGCATTTGAAACTCCTACTAGAGTCAATAAGGTCCTCTGCTGCCAGGGGACGTGGAAGCAGACATTCAGCGCTCTGCTTATAGGAATGTATTTGTCTGCAGAAACATTTCTCCGTTATGAGGGTATTACTTAATTTGTGTATCTGCATTCCGTCTACTTACTCAGGCAGAACCATAACCTGTGCAAAATGCGCAGCCAATTTGGAGCTTGAGTTAATGCATCCATCTAAGTTTATTTCTCTGAAGTGCTAAGATGGCTCTGAACAATATCCAACGTTTGTGAGGATGAATAGTGTGATTATGCAAAAGAAAATGCATTGTTAGAGGTCTCCCTCTGGAAATGAGCCGAGCCACAAATGCTGACAACAGGATGTGTCAGATGACACAAAAGCGATGGTCTGATCAAGTTTGACAGTCTGGTTTTAGGGAGGTTGCACTGACCTGGTAAAGGATTATTATGATGGCTTCAACAGTGTTTAAAACAAACATATACCTGAAATTGCAAGAGGGACTTTTTTCCTGGAAGATTGTGCCAGACCAGGTATCCTCTCCCCAGAAATTGCAGGACCATGCTGCACATCCCTCATGAGGGTAACTCCTTCCCGTGGAAAGGGTCAGCTCAAGATTTTAACAAGCGTGTGTGTTTGGTGTCCTCCCTGCTGCGAAGCACCTGCTGGCAGCTCCATGGCAGTGCCCAGCCCAGGCTGGTGGGAGCAGGCTCCTCCCCAATGCCCTCTCCCCAGCCTGCGTCCTCTGCCAGGCAGCAGATTATCAATAGCTTTGCCATGAAATTGTAAATGGCTTTTTAATTATGTAAAGACTGTAGCCATCTTCATGTGGTGCTCAGCCCTATCCTTTTACCTGTGTCTTATCAGAGGAGGAGGGAGAAGAGGAAGAGGAAGAGACAGTAGATGGTGAAGATTTGGATGAAGTCCACACTGAGACATCAGGAGAGGAGGAGGAGGAGGAAGAGGTGGAGGAGGAAGGGGCTGAGAAAGCATCACAGCCACCTCAGCAGAACCCCGAACCGCAGAGCACAGTGGGAGAGCCCCCAGCCGAACCCGCTCTGGTGCCACAGCTGGCCGAACCTGCTCTGGTGCCACAGCCTGCCGCACCAGCTGGTCAGGTAAGTGTCCCCAGTGCCCCGCTGCCCTGCCAGTTATGCTGCGTGTGCCCTGGCAGAGCAAGAAATTACTCCCCTGTGGCCTGTGGGCACCATACATCATGAGCACAGCTAAGGGAGTCGATGCACTGGAGAGCAAAATTGTTTATTGCCCTTGTACACGTATACACAACTGTACCCTGTTGTCTTGACCTGCGTGTATACCGCTTGACAGGCAAAAACTTATGCTGCTAGATAAATTGAGATATATATGGGATACATAAAACATAGATAAAAGATTCAGTTCAGGACATAGGCACATTACAATGGATGTTCTACTTGCTGTGATTTAATTTAGACTAACTATTATAAATTAATATTAAAATATTTATACTAAGAGAATTTGGCATTCCCTCTGGATTTAGTAAGCTTTCCACCACCAATTTTTAGATCATGCTTCTAATCTGTTTTCTGTGAATGGCATTTTCTACCTTCTGCTCTGGTCATCCTAGGGATATTGTCCAGGTACATGCAGGGATATCATACACCAAACAGGAGAGGAAACTGCCTCTTACAACCTAGTAGCAAACAGATTCAGGGTGTGAACAATTCAGGCCTGCACTGTTTCTTAAGGAATGTGATTACAATGAGACCATAATTGCCACATATTCTAAAAGACTTACATAAAAAAATACACATCATGTGCTACTTTAGCTGGTCTTACATACAATTAACTTAGCAAATTCTTCTCTTATGCAATTTACCAAATGAAGTTGCTGAGCGGGTAAAGGCTGCTGTGAAGATATTTGAGGAGGCCAGTGTGAAAACGAGAACAAATAAAGAGTCTTTGATTGTAGCAAGCTCCCCACATAAAGCAAGGGAAAATAAATACTATAGATTCATTCTTGCTTTGATTTAAAGTCATATGTGAGTTTGCACCAGCTATGTGAAGATGCTCTTAAATCAGTCTTTCTTGATTTAACCAAAGTTTGTCTTTTGAGTATTTGCACTGACTTATGTTGCCTAATTTATGTAGGTTTTTATGCAAATGAGACCTAGACTTAAGTAATTTTGCCCACTCACATGAAGTCCCTCACTTCTAAGGCTAACACGGGAAAGGTACGGCATGCTGCTGTAGCAATTGTGAAATGCCATTAGGAGATGGTCAGACGTGGAGTCAGACATGGCATGTGGGTATTGCCGTGTGTAGGATACCTGTATTTCAGCTTTTGCCTTGTGGTGTAAGAGAGGCAAAGCAGAAATGCTGTGGTGATAGCAGGTACCATGTGGGTGAGCCCTGAGAGCTTGATGCAGATAGAGGGGTGCAGTTCAGCCGGCTGTTCCTCTTCCTGGCAGAGCAACTCTGCTTGACTTGTAGCACTGATAGTAAGGCTGGTGGGCAAATATTTCTCTCCAGTGTCTTTGTATTCCCCGTTATTCTGACTGCTTATATCAACAGAGTCATTGGCAAACATGTTGTTCTTAACGCAAAACCCAACAAGCCATTTGAAGGTACCTACACCTGTCGTTCGTGGCTGGTACCGGTTCATGAGAGTCTTATGCAGAATTTCTTATATTTTTAGGATTGAATTGGGTGTTGATCTGAATTAAAGAACTGCTTGCTCACTCCTTTCTCAGTCAGCATCCCTTCCCAGATAATTCTACCCTCCTATTCTATTTTTTTGGGTAATGTATTTTCTTTCCCATATCTGTGTTAATCAAATGATAGTTGCTTTTGCTTCGCGTTTTGGCTGTAATTCTTTTGGACCATGTATTAGGATAAATCTATTCCTTGCAGCGAGATATAAAAAACACGGCATGCAAAGCAACATGGCTACGACAGGAACGTAACGTGGTGCACTCTGCTTGTTCTTCTCTTTATCTGTCCTGATTAAGGATGAGGTTGTGACACCAAGTGGTTCTCAACAGACCCCAGAGTCTGACACTCAAGTGCCGGCCACAGCAGAAACCATCGATCCCTTGTTTTACCCTAGCTGGTATAAGGCTCAGTCACGGCAATCAAGCAGTTCAAGCTCAACCCCAGTGAGTGGGTTGGGGAAAGTAGGGCCTCCTGTTTCTCTGGAAACAAGTGCAAAGAAGGCAGAAGCCCCAGCAGCGCCAGCGATCGAGGAGAGTGCACCGGGGAGTGGTAAGGAAAGTAATGCCACTGCAGCAACATCCAAGGTCAGTGCTACCGAAGTCACCCCAGAGTGCTGTGATGGGCAGCAAGGCGGGAACGGCAATTGTTAAGGAAAATGTGACTTAATTTTCCTCTGCATGCTAAAAAATAAGAATAATTTCAGAAATATGGAAACAGCATAGATTGTTTCAGCAGATCCACTGGATTTACAGATGGTTTCAGTATGTGACAGGTTGACTTTTCAGCTTCAGAGTAGCATGCTGACGGTTGCTTGTGCTTAACTGCCAGTGCACCTCGCTTGTGCGAGCTGTTATCCAAGTTGCTCACACACACGCTCAGGAGCTGTCGGAGAGGCTGGCGATGTCTCTGCGCAATCAGATGTTTGCATGCACTAGTAGCAGACAAATCCTGTGCATGAGATTATTCTTGTCAGCTGTTGAAAGCCTGTGCACATCACGTGCCATCCTACCACCACTGGTAGAGCAGCTATGGTTTGGCTTTGCCTTCTGCAGCTCTGTGGCTGCACCTGGAGCATACGGCTTCCCCATGTGAACATGAAGCTATGCAAATACCCGGAGCCTTCTTGTGTGTTTGACTGCCTCTCAGTAAGCAGTGTGATTTCCTGGGTTCAGACCTGTTGAAGAGGGTTTTCTCCAAGGATTACTAGGACTTGATTAAAGGAGAGCATGAAGATAAAATATTCCGGTTCTGTGTTAGCCTACCAGCAGCATGATGGGATAACAAAAACTGATGTGTTGGGTATGTGAGGGTGTTTCCCTTAAAATGACAATGTTATGAGTTGGGATAACCTGGATTTGGATATTCCTTCTTCTGCCTATGTGTACAAACTTCACAGGGGTCAAATATCCAAGGAACAGAGACGAGGGACCTGTGTGTGAAGCATTTGCACACTACACCTGCTCCTGCTCTAGTGCCTGGCTACCTGCCCAGGAGCAGAACTCTCTAAATGAGTCCATCCTGATTTACAGGCTTAAGCCATATGTTTTCACAAAGCAATTACCAGTATGTTTGCTACAAGAGGAGAGTGTGTGTGTGTGTGTGCGTGTGTGTGTGAAAAAGCACAAGCGGGTAGTAAGTATTTCATACTGTTTCCATTAAAGTTGGAGTAGAACATTCAGCATTCATAAGCAGCCCTACCATGATAAATCACCACAAAGAGGGGAAAAAGTTCAAAGGAGTTCATATAGATATGATAAAAGGGACACTTATCTTTTAGCTGGAGGCTTTAGTCAGTGTCACTTGAATTTGGTGGAAGGATCCTCGCCGACTTCAGTCTTAAAAAAGCAACATTTGACCCTCAAATTTCAGTAGCTATTTTTCAAGTCAGGGTTTGGTTTGAGAATATTTGAGTGGAACAAACAAACAAAAAAATATTTTAAAATTACCAAATCTGCTATGATCTTCTGTTCTCAAGTATATTTCAAACAAGCTGGAAAAAGCAGGTAAATTCACAGTGAAATTAATTGCTGCTGTTTCTTCATATCAGTTCAACTAATGACTGGGCAGCCAAACCTCTCCAGAGGCAGGCAAAGTCCTTACTCGCTAAATCCCCTGGGAGCTTGCCTGACTGTGGTCTGCTTCACTGGGTCCTAATTTACCAGCAGCAAGTAAAGGAGTAAAATTAAGGTTTAATGTGGCCAACTGTTTGAAAAAAGAGTGGCAGTGGTTTTCAGTCACACCAAAGCAGCAATATGGTAGCCAGCTCTCTTCGTCATCGGGTACCCAGAATGAATACAGGCGCATGGGAAAGATGCCAGTTCCTGTTGGCATGTGAATTGGGGTGCTGGATTTTGATATTTTCCTAGATCACAAGTGACACTGACATTTTGAGAGGAGGAGGATGTTGAGAAAAGTAGCATGTGATTCTGGGGACGGGGGGAGAAAGGAGAAGGGGATGCAGCTGAGGACAGGGCTGTCCCTGGGCTGGAGATAGAGGAAAGGATAGGAGATTTTGGGAAGCAGAAAGGTGCAAAGTGTGCTGAAGAACAGAAAAAGCAGAGTGACCAATCTAGGAAGGGTGATGCCGTGAGGTGATGCCGTGGTCAGATTTGTGGATCTGAGCTGAAATGTGTCTATGTCACAAGCAAAATGGCCTCTGTCATGTGGCAGTGATCATTTTTAAGGATGTGAACTTCAACTTTGTTTTTTTCCTGCATGTGATTTTTACACAACCCACTCTGAAATGCCGTATTTGTTGATTTTTTCGAAACCCCTACTGATGTTCCTCACACCGCTGTTTTTACTCCCTTCCTCCAATTAAAAGAATATCATGGAAAAGTGCTGTGGAAACAGAGCTTTTTCACTGAACGTAGTGATAATGACTAGTTCGTGTCATGACAACACTGGTGAAGCACTCTTCTTATTTTCTCACAGGAGTTAGCATTCTGCATATCACTTTTGGCATTTCTTATCATACTACATCATCTTTGGAATCTGATTCAATACATGATTTGTACTTTCATGGGTAGGAAATATTTTGTTTTACCATTAACTAACAGTTAAAATAGTGTCTCTGGTGATGTTCCTACATAGTTTTAAAGGATTTTTTCCCTTTCTTCCCATCCCAAAACATCATGCTAGTTTACAATACAAGCTGCCTAAAACATTTCTTCCTCACACCTTCAAAACGCTACCCTTCAGCTTACTCCTGCATGGTTAAACATTGCACCTCCCTGGTTCAAAATTACAAGATACCTTTACTGCCTCAGATATATGGGCTTATATTTCAGTTGCTGTTAAGATGACCAGCAGGATGGAGAACCTGTGGGTTGACAGGACATGTGAAGAGTCCCAAACTTTTTCAGTCCAGCAAATGGGGGAGGAAGATCTGGGAAGCAATGCTCATCATCAGAGGGGCAAATATCAGGAAGAAAAATCCACTGAATAATCCTTCTGCCATGCTTCCCACTGTGATCAAACCAACAGTGCTCCCTTGGGGACCTCCAGAGAGCAGGGTTTGAGCCACATCCCTGAGCAAACACCACCACGGAGTGGTGAGTCCCCTTCACACCCCAGCCCACATAGCACACCCCACCCATTGGGGGCTCCTGTTCGGGTCCTTTTTCCACCAAAAAGCATCCAAAGCCCTCTCTCCCACATTCCCAGTGAGTGTAGAGTACCAAACACGGCCCTGAAATGCATCCCCATATAGCTGGGGGGGATCCCAACCCTTTAGACATCCTGTGCTCTATGTGTGCTTTTAAATATCCATGCTTAAAAAAGTGTTTTTCTGTAGGCAAAGGCTGTTTTTTCCTTAAGTGACACTAATTAGAGCTGAAATATCTACAAGATCAAGGACTAAGAACTTCACTACCCAGTGAAGTTTTCCTGAGTGCAAATACTGTAAACTAAACCTTAACTATTCCGTAACATTTCTTGTGGAGTAGCTCCTTTTTGGTAGACACTGTCCATGATTTAGTTCTTGCAGCTCCAAATTTCCACCCTCGTTAGGCAAGACATATCTGTATATTCAATTTCCAAAGTGATACGCCTGATCTGCAGAGAATTCCGAGTTACCACTGGGATGTGTAATCTTATTTACTGGAGACCAACGGCCTCTGACACAAAACAACTGTAGTTACCTTTGAGTATTTGCTCTAATAACAGAAGAATTCAATTTTAGTCTATTCTTCAAGACAAAAATGCTTGTTTTTCCCTGCTTACTTTTTGTACTGCACTCTAAGCACTGTACAACATCATATTGTGCATCTATGAAAAATGATAAATTATTATTCAGCTTTTATGTCCAAAAATTCCAGCACTATGAAGTGTATCTCTCCATAAAAAAAAAAAAAAGGGAGAGGGAAGAAGTTATCACCTACTGTTTAGTTGCATAAGTTATGCAAAAAGATGCACTGTCTGGTGGTAATTTGAATTTGAAAAGCATCGGACACTGTGAATCTCAATTAAATTTATGGATCATAGTTTAATTTTCATTTATTTGTGTTTGTTTTTGAAAATTCATTGTATTATGACAAGAGGACATAGAGCTTGTTTGTACTCCTGGGAAATCAGGCATGCGAATGGCACTATGCTCTTTTTTCCCTCTCTTTCTTTTTTAATTCAAAATACCTTTTGAAATTAAAAATAGACAAATGCAGAAAGCTCTCATTTCTACCATTTGAGACCTCTTTCTATGCAGTCTCTAGTGACAGCTTGATGATTTATTTAATCATGAAATAGAAAGGAGGTGAGGGAGAAAGGCATTTTGGTCTCAGACTCTATTTGCATAAAAATTATTTTCTTCTCCATGTGTCATGAGGTGGCTGTTTAGACAGTTTATGTGTCTTTATCTTTCATGTGAGATATCAGGTCACTGCCCCTTTTTCTTTTTGTGTGATAAGCCCCTGAGAGCCAAATAACAAAATTACTTGAAATAACTGTAATAATAATTTATAATAATATAAATCTGCATGACTGTCATCATAAAAGCAGCATATAATTTATTTTCAGGCTATTTAATAGAATGCACGGGTAGGGGTTTCCTTGTTTTTTCAGCAGCAAAAATAGGTCAGTTCCACCTATTAATTCCCCAAATTTACTTTACTTAAGGGCCGCTGCACTCTAAGAAATTGTATCGATGCATCAAGAAATTTCCTCCAGAGCGCAGGAGGGTGTATCAGCAGGGGTACGGCAATAGGAGGTGCAGCCCACAGGTGCACAGATTGCTTGGTCTAAGAAGGGACGGAAGGAGATGATTCAGCATGAACAAAATAGATAACTCAGCACTAGAGAGCCGCATCCTGCTTCAGGGAGTGCCTAAGTCAGAAGTACAGTCACCACAGGCTGCTTCTGCGTCTGACGGAGGACGAGAGGCATCTCCAGTGAGAGACAGTTCACCAGCTGCTGCTGGTTCTCACTTGGCACGTCTTCACACCTGCCTGCTGAGTGTGAGGTGACATCGCTCTTAACCCAGGTGCCTCTGCTCAGTGTCTAAAGTTAGGGGAGTCTTTTGAAGTGAGTCTGAGCCTCTGCAGATGACAACAAGGAGTGAATGATTAAAACACAGGGGTAGAATCAATGA